AGGGGGGGTGGTCCAAGGGGGGTAGGTAACCTAGTAATCCCCATTATTCCCCAATACTCCCTAAGCTTTTTTAAGGTTCCCCACAGCTCCCTAGTACCCTCCCCCCTTGAACCACCCCCCCTTAAGGATCCTATAAGAAGACCTTTCCAGGTGTCTCGTAGGTCTTTGTAGGGTTTAGAGTTTAGCGTTGAGGGTTCAAGGGGTCTATGGTTTATAAGGCGGACCCTGAATAAGGACCCCTACCCTATGATGGGTTATATAATGGGTATATAACAGCTATATGAAGGGTATATATGGTTTAGGGGCTTAGGGGTTCAGGGTTTAGGGTCTGGGCAGGCTTTTGTTCTACTAGTAGGTTGTTCTCGGAATTTATGGGTATTTGTGGTGGGGGCATTCGGGGGCATTCATGGTTAGACCAGGGCTCCTTTAAGGGGTTCCTTGATGGCTTCCTTTCAAGGGCCTCTATACGGAATACTATTGGGGTTTAGTTTTGGTTCCAGAATAGGAATAACAGCGGGGTATCTTAGTTCTAGCATCATCGTATAAAGGAACCCTATAGCAAGAAATAGTATGCATGGGTAATATTCTGCGGGGCTGTGTTGAATTGAAGTGTTAGGCCAGGGGGTTCAAGAGCTCGTGGTTGGAAGCTTATAAGGGTTTGGGGACTTTAAGACTGAGGCTGCTTGGAAGCCTACGAACAGACACACAAACAATCTGAAACCTGATCCTCAGACGCCCGACTCTAAACCCTAAACCCTAAACCCTAAACACCGAACCCAAAACCCGAATGCATTTCTCCCCAACCTCAGCATGCATCCGCACTTAGGGCTCACGAGGTCTATATCATTGGTCCCGTCCTCCACCCAATCATCATCGAGGTTCGAGGTTGAAGGCTAGCGACCACCCTACAAGCCCCATCAAACCTCTAAATCTTAAATCCCGTGATGGAACCTACATAGACTCATATAAAGGAATGCGGGGGCGGATTCGGAATCCGTATAGAACCAACGAAGGCCCTAAAGCAAACCCCATGAAAACCCCTACAAACCCTGTAAACCTGGGGTACGGCCCCCATACAGTAAGAGTCTATAATAGGGCTACTATTAAGGTCTTACTATACCTATATTATGAATATTATTCCACTATTACTGAGTGGGGGCCGTACCCAATGTAAACCCGAGAACCGCCTCGACCCTTTTAACCCTTAGAAGCCCGAAAAGCCCTCTGAACCACAACTAGGATACCCAGTAACCTAAGAATAAAAAGGCCTCTCTTTTTTGGTATTGGGTAACTTTATAAGGAACCTAGGACTACAAAAAGGGAACAAGGGTACTACTGGGCATCCTAGACAATAAAAGTGTCCGATAAACCCTTTTTTCAACCCCTACTGGGGGGATCGGGGGACTTATAGAGACTTAGAAGTACCCTCAAAGGGACCCTCATTGGGATTATGGTACTTATAAGTCCCCAAAATAACCAGTTACTAAGTCCCCCACCCTCCAAGTAAACGCTTTCAACCCCCTACAACCCCCCCCAAAAAAAAAGCTAAAGAGACAAAAGGGCCGAGCTGCTGCGGCTGATTCGCTGCGCTCCAGCGTGTTGTCAGTAACGGCGTAAGCACTGCAGGGGTGGGCCTTGAGATGCTTGGGAATCTCACTAACTATAATGGGTTCCTTAAGGGCCCCTTTAAAGGGATCTATAAGGATTTTGTAAGGGTTTAGGGTTTAAGGGACTTAGTAACTGGTTATTTTAGGGACTCTTAACTACCATAACCCCAATGAGGGTCCCTTTTAGGGTACTCATAAGTCTACTTACTAACTACTTACTACGTCCCCCGACCCCCCAAGCAAGGGTTACAGTGGACCCCAGAAAGTTGGAACATGGATTAAGGACGATTAGTGCTAGGATTCCCTACACTTTACCCTAAAGGCATGAGGATAATGATGCTTCAACTTTCTGGCTTCTACTATACAGTAAACCCCAGAAAGTTGGAATATGACTATCCTAAATCCTTTAAGGTAAATTATAGGGTATCCTACACTGAAACCATATTCCAACTTTCTGGCTTCTACTATAAGCGGCTTCGAGAGTTAAGGGTTTTGGAGGTCCAAAGTCTTTTGGAGACTGTTTTGGCGCGGGGGTTAGACGGTTTAGGGTTTAGGATTTAGGGTTTAGGGTGTTTAGGGATTTAAGACGTATTTTGTTGAAGGTCTATGATTTCGGGCTTCACGCTTACTGTGTTTGGGGTTTAAGGGTTGCGGATTTGCCGGCATCAAAATCCTTGTAAAAATCTACGAGCGCGTATGAAAGCCCTGTATATAATGCCTTCGAACTTGAAAAAACTTGATAGGGGCCTCAATCCTTTAAAGATGTGGTTTTGATGCATCATCTAACATAAGCGCACATCGCCACTAGCTTTTCCGACCTCTATATGAAGTTTGTATTCTCGAATATACCCAAGATGGTACAGGTGCTAAGAATACAGGGCTTAGTGCTCATGGTTCAGGGTTTAGGGCTCAGCAGTTTAGTAGGGTTGGTAGGCATGTGGGTGGTTGTCAAAATTAGGGTCCCTGTTTGGGTCTTTGTTATGATACGGCACCTAATGTTTAGGGTACCCAAAAAGGCACCATAATTTTGAAAACCACCCATGTAATTGCGACTGAGGGTCTGGGGCTAAACCCCTAGAGCCCGGTATGCGTTATGAGCCAGCAATCGTCGACAAATCCATGCAAATCACATCAAAGCTCTGGAAAACGTAAGGAGACCGTCATTTCACAAAGATACTTTGAACAATCTCACGCAAGTGCCCCTTACATCATACTCTGAACAGTAAGGGCCTTAAGTTCTAGAGTATCAAACATTTTCTTGTGCCCATCATAGCCCCACTATAGCGCCAAACCCTAAACTCTGAACCCAAGCAGAACCGGTTCAGAGAAACTCCCATAACCGCAAACCCTAAACTTCCCTGAACCTTTGACCCTATACCATACCAAATCGGGTTCAAGAAGCTCCCATAACCCCAAAACCCTGAACTTCCTTAAACAGTAAACCCTAAACCCTTAACCCTAAACCTTAAACCCTAAGCCCTTCGCTCTGAACCCTTAATTTAAAAAATGGTTCCAAAAACTCCCGTAATCCCAAACCATAAACCTCCCTAAACAGTAAAGCCTTGACCCTAAACCCTGAACCCTCATTACAAAAATGGATCCAAGTGCCCCCGCGGTGTTTGATGGACCACCGGAGTGCCACAGGTGCCCGGTACATGGTCGCCTGCATGGAGGCACTACAGTTGGGATTTAGGGTGTAGGGTTTAGGGTTAACGGTTAGGCTTCAGGGTTTGGGGTTTAGGGTTGAGGGCTTAGGGTTTGGGGTTTAGGGTTTGAGGTTCGTGTCGACGCTTCGCGTACACCACCACGCGAGACGTGTGTTGTGTACGCCGAGGTTCACGTTCCCTCCCAACCCGCCCACCCAGTCCATAACCCTTGTCGGGTTTAGGGTGTCCTATATGTTTGTTCGATTTGTTTCTTCTTGAATCCGGAACCCTTACCCAGAGAACCGAATACCCCTTAATAAAGGAATACACCTTAAACTATAGAGGCCTACCACTATGTTTTGAGGTATATTGCTTTATTAAGGGGTATTGGGTTCTCTGGGTAACCCTGAATTCTAAATCCTACATGGCGGGCCTCTCCTGGGCAAGCTAATTCCGACAGAGACTCCGCTGACGAGGGTGTCTTATGTGCTTTTTCCATTTGTCATAATTGGTCTGGAACTCCAAATCCTGAAAATTGAATGCTAATTCCTGAATGGCTGGGATGCGGCCCAGAACCGCTTCCCGTCGCGGCTCCTTGGGAAATGTGGTGACCCAGAGATCCCAATACCCCTTAATTAAGGAATATACCTTAAATTATAGTAGGATCCCTAATATGATTCAAAGTATATTCCTGAATTAAGGCGTATTGGGATCCCTGGGGATGTGGAGCTGGAGTACCTCCTGCACGTCCTTCGCGATGATGTCATGTGCGAGGCACCGGGCCATAATGAAAATGCACATTTTATGAACGGAATTTAATAAGCAAAAACCAGCACATTGGTCAGGGCAATGCAGGGCAAAAGGCAGGGCAGCAGGAGAAGCGGCGGGGTCAGGCTGGGGGCCAGGATGCGCCTAGGGGGGCCTGGGGGGCCTAGTCGGGGGCCTCGGGGGCGTGGGTCTAGTCTCCCTCTAGGACCGGCCGCCAGGTCCCCGAACTCTGCTCGCTGCAGGCCCCAAGCCCCCCCTGGGGGGGTCCCTTTTTGGAGGGGGCGGTCGCAAAGGGTGAAGGGGGTTTGGTAATTACTTGACAAGGGACCCCGTCCCCATGGCGGGCAAGCGTCCTGGGTCGCTCTGCGCCATCGAGGTCGAGGGACTTTTGCGCCGCCCACCCATAGTAGGTGGGCGGCCTAGTCGGGTTTAGGGTTTAGGCTTAACCCTGGGGGACATGGAAAATGGACCGTCCATTTTCGAGGGTCCTCAACATAGCTACTGCCCCGATCGGTGTATGTAGCTTGATGTATGGGGGGGTTCGAGGGTTTCAGGGAAGATACTACGGCAGGCCATGGCAGGCCACGACACAACAAGTAAATGGAAAAAAAACATCTGTGGCGTGTTTCATGTGGTTCTGGCATGCACATGTTGTATGTATCTCAAAGTTCTATGCAGCACATGGTCGGACAGTTCGGCGACCCTCTTTTTTTTCGTCCCTTGAGTGGCACTTCTGAACTCCGCTCGCCCAGCAGCTGTCGCCTCGCGGCACAGGGGTAGGACTTAGCTGCCCATGCTACCTCCCCTATACCCCAGCCAAACCTCAACCCAAACCAAACCCTCGCATTTGCAAAAGGCCAAAGGGACAGCAGATCGCCCGGCCGCCGGAGAACCATACTCGGAAGTCGGAGTTGCCAAAGGAAACGCAGCGGAGTCCTATGCAAGCAGGAACACAATGGAATACAAGACACACACCCTCCTATTCCTGTGCATGCTGCTCCTCCTCGTTACTTCTGTAGCCCCGGAAGGAGCCGCCATCACGAATCGAGGCCCCTTCGTAAAACGAACCGCCATCCTCAACCTCAGGAACACAAACTGAGCAAGATGAACAAAGTCCAAGGGGTTCGATAAT